CTGTCTATGAAGCCTCTAAACAACTGAGATGGATTTTGGGACAAATCCCACAACATCCTAGCGAACTAAACTAGAAAGCGAATAAAAGAGTCCTCCGGAATGCAATGAGGCTCACCACTGACTCTGAATGCTCAAGCCAGATCAACGAAGCGCTGGATGTTGATCCTGGTTACCTGTGTCTGCATCATAAGACGATGCAGGGCAACTGGCATCAGCACATTGAATGTACGAGTATGCGAGTTGGAATGCTAAACAACAGCTTAAGCTTGAAAGGGAATCTGAAAGAAACACTTACCTTGGCTCTTCTCAACTCATGAATACTTAACATAACTCTGTGTATATACAAGGTTACAACATAACTCTGAAATGTATGTAAAAATACAATAACTAATGTATATAAAAATACAATAACTTCTGTGGTAATTTCTCTAATCGACATCCATCACATAAGAGCTTTAGTGATGATACAACGATCTACCTCACGCTGCCAGCACATCCTATACCCGGCCAAAGGTATAGAACCTGAACTGCCTAATGGATCCACTAGTCTATTTCGAAAGGATTCATCTAAAAAGTATGACCCTTTTCTACCCATGGTGGCTACATGGTTCTATAGTGATGTGAGTTATCTAAACTCATGCTCGTCCCCAATTCGGTGCTCAATACTATTCCCAAAATATACTGGCTCTTATGTTTAAAACATACTTCTTCTGTGATTTGAGATTAGTGCTCAAAACCTAGCTCGAAGGCTATCTTGGAAATCTCAGTTTCCATGCTTGCTTCATTTAGAAAGTTGTTACTCTTTTATGAAAACTAGCTCGAAAGCTCTTTGAAAATCTCAGTTTCCTCTCTTCTTTAAAATGTGAAAACATTTTTAAATCTCTTTGGGAATACATAGTCCCCATATACTTCTTTGAAGAAAAGAACTTCAACTTTACATCCTTACTGAACTCGAAGCTTAAGTCTTAAAACAAAGTTAAAACATTTGAGAAAAACTTTTGAAAAACTTTAAGAACTCATCTTAACTTGACTTGAGGATTAAGATTTTTGACTGGAAAGATCTCATGATGTTTAGGAATGATTCTAGATAGTTAAATATGAGAAAAGACCAAAAATCAATATTTGAAGGTGGGTCCGCGACGCGGAGGCATAATCTAATTTTGGCTCAGAAAACGTCTTTTGAGGCAGAAAACCTTGTGTCAGCTCCGCGACGCGAAGCTGAAATTTCAATTCTGGGAATAGGTTGCGCGACGCGCTCCCATGTTCAGATTTCGCCCATCGAAATTTCTTCTTCGTTTTCTTCCCCAATCCACCCAAACTCGATTCTTTTTCTTAAATCACTTTTAGATACAGAGACCCAACAAATGTACCTAAGAACCTAACTCAAAACGACCCTGTAATGCGACGTAACGAACTCAGAAACTTCCCAACTCAGTCAAATTCAAGAACAATATATGAATTCAAGAATAGGTATCAAGATCATCAATATTCAAATATTTTTAGGATGAATCCAAACTGAAATAAATATGCTTGACACGTGGGAGAACGATCCCAACGTTGTGAGAGCCTCACATACCTTCTATAAGTAAATCCTTGGCGAAACACCAAGTTCCTTGATCAATCTTAATGAATTTACCCTTTTCTCCTTCTTCTTTTCTCTTCTCCTTTCTCCTTAGCCCTAATGTGAAATCCCAATTTCTAAAACTGACTAAGTCCTTAATTGACCCATATTAAACTCCAAAAAATTGGATTAAAATAATAGGGCAGTGAAAAGACTAAAACACCCCTTATATTTCTGGATTGGACATTTCCTTAATCCAACAACCCAACTTCCAAAAGGCATAACGTGCTCATACAAACTCAGAATAGTGCAAACTTAGCGGCGTTGGAAGGATCATTCCAAGAGCTTCCCAACCATATCTGGAACTACACCTAACTCATCCTGAGCTAGTAGTTATGGCCGTCTGAAGTTGACCAAAAACTCAACTTTAACTCACTTACAATTTTCCAAATTTCCTTATACTTTCCAAAAATAACTATTTCCAGATTTTTTTACTTCCTTCTAGTTCTTTCTAGTTGCGAGATGTTACATTAATACTCAAGAAATTTTAAATTCCTTGCAAAAATCTCACTCACAATGAAAACGGTTAGAGTCTTAGCTCAAAATTTTTTTGGGGTGTTACAAATTGCAAGTTCATCCTTCACCATCCTACTAAGTTTTGGAAATTGAGTTCCAAGAGCCCTCCACCAGTTCAAGAGTTGTGATATACCTTCCTCGTTTGTAATAATCAAGACCAAGTTTATGTTTCATTCTACCATGGACACCTACTTGCGGTATAGACATTTGAGGATTTTCAACATTGTCTAAGGAACAATATTTATCATACATTTCTTTACCAAGTAATTTTATACTATTTTGACATTACCAAATCAGGTTCTTCATCTAGTTGAATATCTAAATTTTTATAAATGCATTCAACTAAAGCTTTTGCACCATATTCTTTATATTCAGGGTTGAAAAGAATTGTAGTTAAATAAATTTGAGGGATATGGAAAAAATATTTCTTAAATTTTGAAATCATAGCTTCAATAGCATTTGCAAATAATTTATTTGTTTTATATTCTGCAAAGAGAGATGAAATCTCACTTACATGTATTAAAATTTCAGAAATAGTAGGATAATACATTCCAGAAATTTTTTTAGTAGCATCATAAAATGATTTCAAAAATATTCTAAGTTCATTTACTTCTTCCCAATCACTATCATTAAGTTTTGAATCAGAATAAGCATTATGAGAATTAAATTGCATAGTAATAGGTTCTCTATATGCATAAGCAACTTCAAGCATATCACAAAAGGAATTCCATCTAGTTTTTACATGCTTTGAAACTTTTCTTAAACAAGTTGACATGCATTACAAAGCTCTTTAAATCGATTAATTCTACTACTACTATGCATATTAAAAATAAACAAATAAGCATTATCAATTTTTTCACAACTATTTTCAAATAATTTCACACCATCACTAACAACCAAATTTAATATATGCGCAACATATCTAACATGAAAATCATATTTACTAATAGGACAAAGTCTACGTTCTAGCATATTAATAGCATTTAAATTAGCAGAAGCATTATCTAAAGTAATACTAATGACTTTATCACAAAGACCGAAAAAATCTAAAATATCCAACACAGTTGTAGCAATGTACATCCCAATTTTTTTTTCTGTTGACAAATTTTATAACCGATAATATTTTTTGTAAATATTGACAATGTTTTTCTTGGAATTCAAAAATATCTCTTTTTACCATGTATCTTGATAAACTAGTAAAACTAGGATTATATGTATCACGAATATATGTAATAAAACCCGGATGTTCTCCAAAACTAAAAGGTAAACCACAAACAACAATCATTTTAGCAAATTTTTCACGATCACGATCCTTATTATAGGTTCGATGTGTAAGAGGACCACTTGGGTTAGAAGTATTTAATTCACCTTGAACAATATTTGACCCTCTAACCGATGCTCCAACGCTAGAATCTTCATTAACACCAAGAGAAGATAAATATGCAAACCACTCTTTACTATGTTTTAGAATCAAATGTTTTTTTAATCCCCCCGTTGAACCTCCACTCCCACCAGATGTATATTTAATTGTATTTACAAATATTACATATTACTAAAAGTTTTTTCATCATTCAAATAACAAAATTTCTACACATGTGATTTTTTAGTACGTTCTACCTTGGTCTTACCCCTAGTTTGAATAATAGGAGGACGAATAGTTCCAACCGGAGGATTGTCCTCCTGAGGTGGAACTTCAGTACTATTGAGGTCGGGACTAATCGGTTTATCATTTAAATCTACTTCTTCATTTTCTTGATAATTACCATAATGTCTTTCATAAAGCTCATGGGGAATTATAGGAGTATCCGAATTAATTTCTATAGGATAGGGACGAGAAAAACTAGTTTCATTCACATGCATAAATTCATCCGTATTTATTCTAACAAGAGGAACTTTAGAGTTAGAAGAACTAGAACCTTTAATATTTTTTATAAAAATATTTTTTACTCTTTCTTCAACACCTATTTTACTTTTATCATTTTTTTAAAAAGACTCCATGATATAAAATTATAAAATATGAAATTAAACAAGAACAAATAAAATATAACAAGAACAACTTACAAATAATAAATACAAAACGAAGTTACCAAACATTTGTGTAAAGAACAAACGATTATAACCAAAAATTAAAAAATTGATGTCGAAACTTGAAGTTTGAAGAAGATTCCTCCTCCAAAATTCACCAAATGATTATTCAAATCTTCATAATTAGAGAAAAGGGTCAAATGCCCCCTCAAGCTTTAGCCATATTTCCAACTACACACTTAACCTTTGCGGGGGTCCTATTACCCCCATGAACCTTTTTATTTTTGTATTGTTTCACCCTCAGACGCTGATGTGTCCACATACGTGAACTCACCTTCGTGAGGCGCGTAACAACGTAATAAAATGTCCATGTGGAGTCCAAATAATCCTCCCAATGGTAACTTTACTCTTTATTTAACCATACATTTATTTTTTATTCTTTTCCCAATTCATTTATCTCCATCTCTTTTGTTCTTAAACAAAAGCTCTCTTCTTTGTTCTTCATCCACCATTTTCAAAGCTTGAATTTAGTTGTTGTATCTTCTCCAACTAAGATTGAATTTAGGGTTTGCAATTTTCTTGAATTTCATATTGAACAATTGAAATCTTCCCCAATTCGACAACTTGATTTTTTTTTCACTTTGTGCTATTAAGGTTAGTAATGTCAAACGCAAAATTGAATAAGCTATGCATGGAAGAATCAGACCCAATGCTCAAAACCATAGTACGATGCAAACATGGAAGTTTGTTGCATATGCAGACTTCTTGGTCGAAGTCGAATCCCGGAAGACGATTTTGGTCTTGCCCCTACTATGGTGTATGTTTCTTCAGTTGTTTGATTTTGTTGGGTTTAATTGATGTGAATGTTAATAACATTAATATATTTTTTTTATTTTTTCAGGAGAACAATTGTCATTTTTTCCGATGGAGAGACAGAGAAGAAATCGATCCAAGATCCCAATTTATCCTCCCAATATTGGTGAACAAAATCAAAGAGTTGGAAGATGAAGTTTGGAGGAGACAGATTCAAATCAATGAGCAACAAGTTCTGATTGATAATTTTACAGTAGAGAAGAGGTTCAAACGAAGAAAGTTGAAATGGTGTACGTTTGATTGGAAGGTCATTTTGTGTATTTTGATTTGTGTTGTTGCCTTGTTCATCAACAACCTATTTCAAAGTAGGGTTCATTCAAGTATTGAACTAATTGAATTGCCATAACATATGTGAGTAGTGAAAGGAGTTGAAACTCTCTTTTGGTTGTCATATGTAATATGAGAAATTTTGTATATCAATATCATGAATCTTTTCGGATAAAGTAGTTGATATAGTAGTGTCTATATTACAACAAATACGGGAGAAATTGAATAAACATAACACCATTTGTAAAATAGAAGGCCTTTAATTGACATAATCGATTGTAAAATAGGCCTAACATAAGGTCAAACTACAATCAAAAACCAAAAACCAAAAACAAAAGCATAATTTGATGTTCAATACTAATACATCATCATTCAAAATGGGAAATATTTTCATGCCTACTTAAAACAGTACTACAATATCATTACTTCCTAGATTGGATTGTTTGAACTTCTTCCTCTTGATTTTTTCTTTGTTCCTCTCTCATTTCTTGAAGTTTTCTTATTGAGATTGTTGCTTTTCCATTCCATTTCTACTTAGGTGCAGTACTTGGTTTGTAACCAATATCACCAGTAACATCAGCAGATTTTGTCACCTTTGTTGTACCAGTAGAGAATATCTTACAACTTGACATCCCAGGCTGTATTCAAATTATGAAATAATTAGTGAGTGAGTTGAGTTTAGTAGTTAAACATAAAAAAAAATAGAATAATTGAATCAATAGAAAACACTTACATTAAGAGCTTTGAATCTATTTTCATCTTGAAACACACCCATTCCAATGACTGCTTGCCTTTTGTATGAGGTTGTGCTTCCCCTACCCCTTCCTTTTCCTTTGTTACTATTAGTTAACTGGTAATCAGCAGGTGTAGAAGATCCAACATGGTAATTAGCAGGTGATGGACATGTAGGAGGTGCACTAGCTGCTGCAGGTGGTCTTCCTCTTGCACTCTTTGCAGGTGCTGCAGATGCATTAGGTGCTGCAGGTGCAATAGGTGGTCTTCCTCTTGCACCTTTTGTAGGTATTGCAGATGCACTAGGTGCTGCCAATGGTCTTTCTCTTGACCTCTTTGCAAGTCCTGGAGATACACTAGGTGCTGCAGGTGGTCTTCCTCTTGACCTCTTTGCATGTCATGGAGATGCACTAGGTGCTGCATCTTTGCAGGTCATGGAGATGCACTAGGTGCTGCAGGTGGGCTTCCTCTTGACCTCTTTGTAGAATGCTCACCTTCTGTTTGTGCTTTCTATAAATATAGTTAAAAATATTGTAGTTATTACATATGAGATCTCTATCACATACCAAATTAAAGTTAAAGATGTTACCTTGGTCTGCCTAACCTGAAGTTTGCCTATTCCTTGTCTGTATTTGATGGTTCTTCCCTTGTTGATGACTCACCCCTTTGTGGACATCCTCTCTTGTTGTGGCCTCTAACATTACAGTTACTACATGTCATGGCAAGTCCAGTTCTAGGCAGCTTTCCAGATTTTTTACTCTCACCAACTTCCTTCTTTCTAAGTTTACCTGGCCTGCCAGGCATGCTTTTTATTTCTGGTGGTGCAACTGTGGGGTTAGTAGATACAGGCCACATCTCCATGTTTGTGACAGGTTGAAGGACATTGGCATAAGTCCTCAAGTAAGTTGCCTTACTATAGCAGTTGTCAATGTAGTCAAGAGGTTCACATTTCTTAAAGTAAATGGCAGCCACAGCATGTGCACATGGTATGCCTTTTAACTGCCATACCCTACAACTACAAGTCCACCTACCAAGATCCACACTGTGTTGAAATGGTCCTTCTCTCACTTCAAATCCATCAACTCCATTAAATTCAATATTACAATTCATTGACCTATCAAAATTCTCATGTAGTACCTTCAAAGACATTGGAGAGAAATCACACATCCAAGTATTTGTGAACTCTCTTAACTTGGCTATTCTTGTCATCATCTTTACTCTTATCTCATCAAGCATAGTAATAATTGTCTTGTGCCTAGCTGCCAAGATCCATGAATTAAAGCACTCAGACATATTGTTGTCTACAGAATCACATTTTACTTGAGTATTAAAGTAAACCTTACACCAGTACTCTATGTTGTAGTACATAAGATCATCCATCATTTTTTCTGGACCAAGCAACTTCATCTTTGCAACATTTTTCCTCAATTGAGATTCAAAGGTACTCTTTGCAATAGACCAAAACTGTTGTCTTCTTTGGAGACCTCTCCAGTCCTTAGCCCAATTAGCTAAGATGTGTCTAGCACACATTCTATGTTCAGCAAGAGGTAAAATATTTAAAATTGCTCCTATTAATCCCTGTAATAGTTCTAGATATGTTATAATAACAAATATATGAAAATTGATAAAGATAAATACAAAATAAAATAGTACACATACCTTTTGCATATCTGTAATCAGGGTGAGATCTTCACCATCTCCTAGTCCTAGATCTTCCTTAGCTTTTAAATACAGGCCTACCAAGTGCATCAGGTTCATCCAATTTAACAACACAAGTGGTTCCTGGATTGGTCCTTAGTAGTTCATCCTTGTAGTCAAGAATTCTTCCAAATTCAACAATATGATCACCCATAATATCTTTCAACACCTTAGCTCTTGCTCTCCTAACAATAGTCTTGACAACATGAACTTTAAGCGTCTTTCTAATAATGGCTTGCAACTTCAAAACTCTTATACTTGGCTGCTCAAGGATTCTTTGTCTAAAGACTGCAGATATGTTATTTGCATTACACAAATAATTTCTGGTTGTTGAATTACAAGTATGCTTTGGATTGTATGTCTTAATCATGAAATCATTTGTTGTGTTGTCAGGACATGCATACAAAAACCAGGGAAGACCTTCCTTGCACCTACATCTAACTCTTTTTGGCTCATTCACACACTTCTCTATTTGAACTCTTTTCTGGACAACATATTTACTAACTGCTCTTCTAAATTCATTCACATCTGCAAAGACCATACCCAACTGCCATACAACTTTCTTGGCAGTAGGATCATGTATAATTTTCTAATTATTTGGCCTCCTCCTTCTTTTACTAGTTCTTGGTAAATTTACTCTTTCAGATTCAACACATTCATCACTAAATTCATCTTCATCTATTTCAAAACTTCCATCATCAGAATTTTCAAAATAAGGCTCATCACCTCCTAATCTTCCTTCAACACTTATTTTACCTGTTTGAGTTTCATCAAAACCTAAATCTACTCCAGCTTCACCTACTGGTACCTCTTCAGTATCAGCTAGTACTCTCTCTTTTCTTTTTCTTCTTTGAAAACATCTTTTTTCAACCCTCAACTCCCTAACCTCTTCATGTACATCACTACCATAGGCCTCATTATCATCTCCCACCAATCCACATTCAGACTCAACACTATCTTCAGTTGAGTAATCAAAACCTTCTTTTTCTAAGAAATCAGATTCAACAGGGCCTGAAACTAGATCATCAGCATCTTCAGTACTAGGATTTGCAGCAGTGACAGGATTTGTAGTGGAAGGATATCTAGGAGCAGCAGTTGTAGTGGGAAAAGTTGTAGTGGAATGAGTTGTGGTAGTGGAAGGAGATCTAGGAGCAGAAGTTGTGGTGGGAGGAGTTGGGGTAGAAGTAGATCTAGTATCAAAGGTAGTAAAAGGGTCTTCACCTACCCCACTTTGTTCATTTACTTTATTAAAAGTTCAACCAGATTCCTCCATATCCCCATGAGGAACATTTTCTAATAAAATAAGGGTGGGGTCCACAATTGCATCATCAATCAAGTGCTTTACATATACCTCCACAGTATCTCCATCTTCCAAAGAACAACTTAAGTCTAAAATATCCATATCATTATGAATATCTTCCAAAATACCACTGCTAGAAGGTTTAATACTAAATGTGCAAGTTGTTGTGTATCCTAATTCTTTAATGTAGCCTCTTAATTCAAAATAGGACGGTTTATCCACATCAACATCCAAAAACTTTGTAACTTGCCTACCACTGTAAACTAGTTGTCCACTACTCAAATCTAATACTCCACCATAATACCATCTTAAAGTAACCAAAGTAAATCCACTCATCTTCTACCTGAACAAAGGTAACACTAGTAAGGAATGAGAAACTCTATTTTTTGAGGTTGTACTTTACCAGTAAACTACAAGACTGTATAAATTCACGAAAACAAGTAAATAACTATTAAAATTCCTAATGAACTACATACTACGACACACATATCAAAATAGCATTTGAATGCCAAGTGCAACAAAACCTAATCAAACACTACCATCAAAACTAAAATCAAATATCAACATAACATTCAGTTGGTAAAGAATAACGTTCAATTAGAACTAACCCTAATAAACATTAAAAAGGCCCTAAAAACCTCCACACTACAACACACCAGTCAAAATAGCATTTGAATACGCAGTAAAATAAAACCCTAATCAAACACTAAATCAAAATAGTATTTAGCTAGTAAAGATCGAACCTTTTCGCAGAAGAAATAGTAAGTAAGCTTTCCGAGCAACGTCAATAATGGAAGATCGTAGAGAAAAGGAAGAAGAACTAGAGATTTAGGAAGAAGATCGTAGAATTAATCTAAGGAAGAAGAATTAGGGTCAATTTGGTTCAAAGGTAAAGGTAAAGTTTTATGACATGTGTCAATTTGTGAGTCGTGTAAAGTCATGGGGTCCACTAATATATACGTGGACAGCGCGTGTATACAAACATTTTTTATAAATCTGGTTTATGTGGACACATCAGCGTCTGAGAGTGAAATAATATAAAAATAAAAAGGTTCAGGGGGGTAATAGGACCCCCGAAAAGGTTAAGTGTGTAGTTGAAAATATGGCTAAAGCTTGAGGGGGCATTTGACCCTTTTCTCTCATAATTACAAAATAATATGATTGAAATTTGGAACTTGAAACTTGAAACTTTGAGAAAGATTGAGAATTGAGAGAAATTAATATTTTTTAATTGTTACTGTAAATTTGTAATTAAAAATATAAAGAGAGAGTGTATATATAGTTTTTAGAAATAAAGGGGGAATATGGGATTTAAGGAACATAATTTTCTTACCGTTGGATTGTTGGAAAATATTGTCG